GAGAGAGAGAGAGAGAGAATGCAAGCAGGGGAGGGGCAGAGAGAGGGAGATGCAGAATCTGAAGCAGGCTCTGGGCTCTGAGCTGTCAGCACAGGGCCCAACGTGGGGCTCGAACTCATGAGCTGTGAGATCATGACCTGAGCCGAAGTTGGACGCCCAACTGACTGAGCCACCCAGGCGCCCCTGTGTAAGTTTTGATAAGTGTTAACTTTTTATGATAGATTTGTATATATTTTATGGTAGTAAGTAATAAAATAGTATCTACATATAAATTATACATGTGTGACATATTTAACCTTTTCTATTTTTTCAATACTTTTAGGCTACGTAGTTCATTTGCTAGTTTTTAAAAACTGTCACAAATCTCCAAAATATTTTCCAATGTTTACTGGATAAAACCTGCATGTAAGTGGACCCACGCAATTCATACTCATTCAAGGGTCAACTGCATAGTAATTTCATCCCCATAGTGAAGTGGTTTTTTTCCTAACTAGAAAGGAGACATATAAAGTTTGTATGGAGAACATTAAAAGATGTAAATTTTCCTTTTACTGATCTATAGATTCAGCAAATCAACCAAAAATCCAATATGAATTTTTTCAGTTAATCTGAAAAGTGGTCTTTAAAGTTTGTATGAGAGGTGGCTAAGATCCTCACAAGGACAATGACAGAGGTGTGCCTTTACAGATTTAATTACACAGCTTTATAACAAGACAAAAATGATACTGGTACAAGGAAAGACACATGTGTGGAACAGAAAAGAAAACGGAGTATTTAGAGAGAAAAAAATGAAACTGAATTCCTCATACCATGCCAGAAAAACCAATTCTAGACACACCAAAGACTTCCGTGTAAGAGGGAGAAGTATGAAACTATTCTAAGAAAACCTAGGAGAATTGTTTTTGATCTCGAGGTTCAGAAACCTTTTTATAAACAAGATACAAAGAACACCAACGATAAAAGAGAGGATTTATACATTTAACTCCTGTGTTCTCATATCTTAATGTAGAGCAAGGACAAGTCACAAACAGGGAGGACATCACGGGCAAAAAGATGCACTTCACAAGGGAAGCAACATAAAAAGCATAAATGAAAAAGGATTCACTGATCAAAAACTCAATTAAAAAATGGGCAAAAGATCTGAACAGACGTTTCTCCAAAGAAGACACAGATGTCCAATAAACACATGCCAAGATGTTCAACATCATCAGTCGTTAGGGAAGTGCACATCAAAACCACAAGGAGATACCATTTCACACCCGCTACGATGTAATAAAAAGATAACAGCAAGTGTTGGCAAGGATACAGCAAATTTCGAAACCTTATACACCGTTGGTGCAGTTGCTTAAGAAATAGTCCGGCAGTTCCTCAATAAGTTAAACATAAGTCACCATACGAAAGAGCAATTCTACTCCCAGGGGTATAGGTATATACCCAAGAGACCTGAAAACATCTGTCTGCACAAAAACTTGTACACAGTGTTCACAGCTGCGCTATTCACAGTAGCCAAAAAGGGAAAACCTATCAATTGAGGAATGGATTAACAAATGTGACATATCCATACAACGGAATATTATCTGGTAATAAAAAGGAATGAAATACCGATACATGCTACGACATGATTTCTGAAAGCATTATACTCAGGAAAAGAAACGAGTCACAGGGGCCACATATGATTCTATTTATGCAAAATGGCCACAACTGACAAATCTATAGCAACAGAAAGTAGATCAGTGTTTGCCTGGTGCTGGGAGAGGGAGCGAAGGTGGGGGGAGACTGCTAATATATCTGGGGTTTCTTTTTGGGATGGTGAGAATGTTCTAAATTTAGATTATGGTACGGCTGTACAACTCTGAATATACCAAAAATGACTCAACTGTCAACTTCAGTAAACTGTATGAATTAAGTCAAGTAAGCTGTTAAAATGATTCATCTCATTAATAAATAAAGAAATGCACACACAATAGTAGGACCAAATAAAGTTTTGGTCTTTTTAAACCACTAGATTGGCAAAAATTAAGCTGTCTGACAGTTTCATATAGAACAAAGGGAAATCGCATACGTTGCTGCTGGGAAGGTAAATTGATGACCTCTTTATAAAAATAACTTGGTAATATCTGTAGAAGAGAACAATGTGCAGTTCCCATACCTTGGTATATACACACATGTTCACTGGAAGAAATATATAAAAATGCTCTAACAGCACTGTTCCTAAAACAAAACTAGCATAACAGAAAGGTTTATCCACTGACAAAACAGGTAATTAAGTTGTGATGCATTCATACAATGGAAATTAGGCATCTGTGAACAACACGTATCAGTTTGGAAACAACGCTGAGTTGAAAAAAGTCCCAGACTACATTCAGTAAGGCATAATTTTTAGAGTGCAAAACAATATCAAAACTAAGGTATTTCGTTTAGGAATATGTACATCATTACTAAAAAATTAAAATCCAGAGAATGGTAACCATGAAATTCAGGAAAAGGATCACTCCCACGGGGCATACAAAGGTAGGTAGGCAGGATGGGGAGAGGCATACAGGGGGATGCACCAGCACTGGGAATACCTGCCTTATTAAACGAGGCGGTGAGTTCACGGGGATTTCTTCTATCTCGTAACTTATGTGAGTGACAGGAGTCCTCTCGTATGAAGCATATACTACCTAATAATATGTCGTAACAGGTTCAGACCAGTAAGAGTCACCTATAATGAGTCACCGTAAACCGCAGCACATTTTAATACTGATCCTCCCAACTTAATATTGATCCTTCCACAGATCCTTAGCTCTGTGCAGTGCCAGACACACGGGAGGTGCTCAAATATTCTTGAGTTAAGTGTGTTTCCTTTAGAATAAATTCCCAGATGGAATTGCTTAATGTATTTCTCTTCCTTAAGATTTTATTTTCAAGTAATCTCTGTACACAACGCAGGGCTTGAACTCACAACCCCAAGATCAACAGTCGCACGCTCCACTGACTGAGCCAGCCAGGAGCCTCTTAATGTGTATATTCTGAAGTGAAAGGTCTTGTTAAAGACCTTTAGCCTCCTGACAGCTCATACAGATCACACTTCTGTGAACACAATCTGAGTAGTTTTTATTTTCTCAGACTTCTGAAAATACTGGGTACAAATCTTTGTAATCTTTGCCAGTACTGTAGGCAATAAAGGCCTTCTTCGGTTAAGCATTTCTTGGATGAGCACTGGAGCAATGTTTTTGCATTTACTGTGGCCATTTCTCATTTCTCCATGAGTTGTTAAGTTACTTCTTTTGCCCACTTTTCTACTGGGATATTAATCTCTGCTTTCTAAGAACTCATCTATTAGGACCAAGTACCCTTTTTCATGTATGTTGCAACTATTTTCTCAGTTTGTCACCTGTCTTCACTTTGTTTATGATGGTTTCTTTTTGGGGCAGTGGGGAGGGAAGGGAGGATACAGAACTCTTTATATGTGGTCCAATCAGTCTTTTAGAAAACTCTTTCCCACCATAGAGAAGAGAAAAATTCTATTTTGTTCCCCAAATTTAGTAGTTTAAGATTTAAATTTTTAAGTCTAAATTTATACACCCTGGAATTTATTTCAGAGTCTTGGCTCAGGCCTGATTGAAGGCTTTATACTCACCAAAATGGGCAATAAAGACATCCCATCCATCTGTGTCTTATTTGGGTTATATCCAGCAATGTCCAAAATAGTAGGACCCAAATCAATGTTGGCAACGAGCATCTATGAGAATGAGGAAAAAAGAAGCAATCTAGAACACAGTTTGTCTGATTTTTCTTTTTTACCTGTAATATAGCTGTTCCCCACCCCATCCAGAAGACAAACAGCATTTACTATTATTATTTTTGTATAGCCTAGACTTACTGAGGTCTACTGACTCATTGATTCAAACATAACTACAATAATTAAAAAACAACAACAACACATAAAGGTTTAATAAGACTTGTAATATAAGCCCCTGGGAAGTTATGTATTTATTCAACCTATACTGTTATTGATCAAAACATTTTTCAAAACTTCTCTGGGACTGCCCGAAGTCTGATGAATTATGAGAAAATGTTGGGCTAATTAATTTATACAAAGTGTTTACAACTTATTTCTATAGTTCACTAAATTTGACTTCAAATGAACTCCTGACATTTTTAAAAGTCTCAAATGTTAAATGCTTTTTAAATTTATTTTTTTATTTTTAGAAAAACAGAGCACGCACGAGTGGGGAAGAGGGGCAGAAGGGGAGGGGGAGGAGGAGAGGGAGCAGGAATGGGGGTCCTGAGCCTGACATGGGACTCAATCTCACAACCCTGGGATCATGACCTGAACCGAAATCAAGAGTTGGGACACTCAACCGACTGAGCCAACCAGGTGTCCCAAAAGTTAAATACTTTTTACCAAGGAGGATATTAGCCCTTTTCATAGTTTCTCAAAGTGATTAACACATACTAAAAAATGTTTGCAATAGGCTGGAGACCACAGAAAACATTCCAACAGTGCACTGATAAAAGGTTCCTTAAAGAGCACAGAACTTAAATGTGCTACATAAACATTCTAGAAATTAAAGTTATTGTCCTGCATTTATACCTTGCCTTATTCCTTTAGTTTATTAGACTATTTTCTTTCTGTACACAAATCCTCGTTAGGACCTAAACCAGAAGAGTCTAATACAATGGGACCACATATGCAATTTAAAATTGTCTAGTGACCACATTAAAGTGAAAAAAAAAAGGGGAAATTCATTGTATATATTTTATTTAACTTGACATTAACAGGTACGTGTGGCTGGTGGCTACTGTAGGGGACAGTGTAGGCCTATACAGGACCTAAGCATACACCTGAAGTCACTTCAGTCACAGGCTAGGAAAACCTTTTAGAATGGTGAAGACAATCCACCATGGAAACTAGGGGCACTAATGTTTATCGAGCACCTATTCTGTGCCAGTATTTACCGTTTATCCTCAATTAATCCTCACCACAACTGTAGGATGCAGTATATTTCCCCCATTTTACAGATGAGAAAATGAAAGAGAAGTAACTGAAACAAAGCCAACAGCTCGTAACTGGAAAAGCTACCATTTACTCAAAGGAAATTAAGTCTTCAACATTGTTGAGAAAACTTAGAGCGTCTTAGGAAAGGCCAAATGGGGATTCCTACCAAGTCAGGAACTTTTAATTTAAAAACAAAACCAGGGGCGCCTGGGTGGCGCAGTCGGTTAAGCGTCCGACTTCAGCCAGGTCACGATCTCACGGTCCGTGAGTTCGAGCCCCGCGTCGGGCTCTGGGCTGATGGCTCAGAGCCTGGAGCCTGTTTCCGATTCTGTGTCTCCCTCTCTCTCTCTGCCCCTCCCCCGTTCATGCTCTGTCTCTCTCTGTCCCAAAAATAAATAAACGTTGAAAAAAAAAAAAAAAACAAAAAACAAAACCAAAACCAAAAGTACAGACATGAAAGGCAAGAAAGCATCTTCAGGGCAATATCCAGGGGCCAGCTCTCCTGTGGCTATGATGGCTCTTGTAGGGCAGACCAAAATGCTTATCTTGGCTCTGAATCATTTAGTGTAATGCTGCAGCTGTCAGAAATTACCATTCAGTGGCAAGCCACTCACGGGAAAGGCAATCCGTATGTTACTGGGGAAAAAACCCACAAAAATGACGTCTCTAGAGATTATACAAGACCCCAGTGTAAGAAATATCTTGCCTAATTCCAAGACTCCCAGACAGACTGAACCGCTCTGAACACAGTCAAAAAGACTCGGTATGAATACAGAAAAGATCGTGTCAGGAAAGAGCAGCACCTATGTTACCTTCGGAATCAGATCAAGGCAACACGACCCTGACACGTGACTAAAAGATCTTCAGTCATGTCTAAAACATAAATGACGTAAAGCCAATTCCACAGGTATTAGTAATAGGACCAAGGCAGTTTCATAAGAAAACAAAAAAAAAAAGTAAACACCAAAATAATAAAGCCTGTAGAGATATAAAATAGTGACTGCCTGGGGGTGCCTGGGTGGCTTAGTCGGTTGGGAGTCCGACTTTGGCTGAGGTCATGATCTTGCAGTCTGTTGAGTTCCAGCCCCACGTCAGGCTCTGTGCTGACAGCTCAGAGCCTGGAGCCTGCTTCAGATTCTGTGTCTCCCTCTGCCTGTGCACCTCCCCACTCATGCTCTGTCTCTCTCTGTCTCTAAGAAATAAACATTAAACAAAAAATTTTTTTTAAATGGTGACTGCCTGTTTCACCAGCAATTGCCTCAAGAACCATCAGCTGTATGAACTGGGGGTGCGGGGCCTCTCTCGAGTGAGTCTGCTCTAGGGGAGACAGGTCTTTTAGGTTTCAGTACAAATCAAGAGTCCCTAAGATTCGGCCCAAGTGCCATAAACACCATCCCAGGACTCTCCGTTCCTAGGTATCTACAATAATCACATTTTTCATAAAAATAATGGACAAATTCTATTACCTTCTAGACTTTTATTTGACTAAGAGGTAAAGAGTCTCAAAATTAGCATACTATGTCAGGAGATGGTAGACTTCTAGTGGAAATGGGAGGAGTAAAGAATTTAACAGAATTACACCTAGCTCTGGTTTTTACAAATAAAAATTAGAATGGACGCTATGGACCCATGATCATAATGACTTCTAGAAACATTAGCATTCAAGTTCCTAAAATGGTACTGCTTTTATAAGTATAAAGATTCATTTATGGATTGAAACCAAAAAAGCACTGACAAGACCAAAAGTAAATTATTTCATAAATCACAGCCTCACTGTTTGGTAATATTCTTAGGTTTGAAGTATACAGACATTCTGATCAAGTAAAAGCTCTGAGAAAATTCTGGGGCATGAAATCAAGGGATATCATGCCTTGCAGCTGCTTATTTTTTTTAGCTCTAAAAAAAATGACAGTGCTACAGAATTACTGAAAGAAAAAAAATAAGAGGGTTCTCAGGAGGATACATCGGATTTCCAAACAGACATTTAAAACATATCTGTTTTAAAAGGGAAACAAGGCTTATTCTGTCCAGTCTTAAAGCCATTATGTTGTCTTCTTGACTCCCAGTTCAGTTCTATTTCCCCTGGATCATGCTGGTCATTTTTTTCCTGCTAACCTTTTTCTAGCTTAAAACCCTTTTGAAGAATTTCTACCACCAAATCTAAAGCTAGATTAACTTCCAGCCAGGGGAGAAAACCTCAATAAGCCAGTCTTTGGCATTCACACATACCACCTGCTTCTGATCTCCCAACAGCTAAGCCCCACTGGTCAAACGTGCCCTGTTTTGGCCATCAGCTTCTGGAGGCTCAGTGTATTATGCCCAACTCAAAACCCTGTGCCACTCACACGGGACAACTGGCACTGAGACAACTATGTTGTCAACACATGATGAACTACCCACCATCTCTGACATTCTTTGTGCACGGTGGAAGCTGAGCATTTCACACGTCTCCAACTACATCTGTCAGCACAGCAGTGCAAGACACACACACACACACACACACACACACACACACACACGGATTTTAACCACACACTTAATTTTCAGTCCTGGTTCTGCCACTTACTATGTGACCTTGGTAATTAATTAACCATTCAAGCAACAAGGATGTCCCCCAGTGTGTGTAAGGGCTGGGTAGTCTAAGCTTAGACAGTGCTTCTCTTCTAGGAACTCCCCACATAAAAGACAAACTCAGTAGGGTGTGGTAAGTGTGAGACCAGCTAAGAACATGGGAAGAACACCTACCCCAAGTGGGGACAGGGGTCTGTAGAGACTTTCCAGACAGGAGTCCAAAACTGAAGCTCTAAAGGACAATTAGTGAGGTGGAAGGGGCTCAAGAGGGGCATTCCAAACAGAAGGAGCAATCAGCCATACAAAGGTGAGGAGGGCAGAGAGATGGTTCACTTAGGAAGTGAAAGTAATTCAGTACAACTGCCACATTCTGTCCCCTGAACAAGCCAAGCTCATTCTCATATCTGTGCCTTCGCATTTATTGTTCTGCTCAGAATGACCTCCCACAAATCTCTGCAGGACTATATCCTTCTCAACATTCAGGTCTCTACTCAAATGCGTCAGAGGCTCTCACTAACAAGTGTAGCTAAAGTATCTGGTTCTCCTGCACACAGGGACTTAAGGACTGATCTTCCCTGACTGCTCAGTACTGTGTATCCAAGGCTGCTGGCACAAGAAGATACTTATTTTCTGAGCTATACTGTAATGGTTAAGTACAGACTCTGGAGCCAGACTGTGATACTTTTTAGCTACATTTTCTTGGGCAAACCATTTAACTTTGTACCTCAATTTCCTCATCTGTAAAAGGGGGATAGCTATATTTCTCATAAGGCTGTGAAAGTTAAATGAGTCGGTACAGCTAATACACTTAGAATAACAGCTGTCACCTATGAAGCATTCAACAAATCATAGTTATCATTGAAATGGTTTTCTAAGAACCAAGTTTCATTTAGACTGCTTAGAGAAGGTGAACTTTTCTCATTGCCACTGTTAACTTGAAGACAAAAGGAATGGTTTGTTCAATGGGCAGCTGGCTGTTACATTTCACTTTGTTCTCATTCAGCCTCCTTCCGCACACTGGTTAGAAGTGGCCCCAGTAGGGGCGCCTGGGTGGCGCAGTCGGTTAAGCGTCCGACTTCAGCCAGGTCACGATCTCGCGGTCTGTGAGTTCGAGCCCTGCGTCGGGCTCTGGGCTGATGGCTCAGAGCCTGGAGCCTGTTTCCAATTCTGTGTCTCCCTCTCTCTCTGCCCCTCCCCCGTTCATGCTCTGTCTCTCTCTGTCCCAAAAATAAATAAACGTTGAAAAAAAAAAAATTAAAAAAAAAAAAAAAAAAAAAA